CCTCTGCAGGTTATATCCACTCCCGTGTGGAGGAGGAGTTTTTGTGGGACTGTAAACAGCTGGGGGCGTACTCCCCCATCGTCCTCCTCAACACTCTGCTCTTCTTCTGCTGCAAGTACTTTGGCTTCACCAAGGTGGAGCAGCACCGTCAGCTGTCCTTTGCACATGTCATGCGCTGCACAAAAACCAATCTAAACAACACCAAGACCACATTCCTGCGCTTCTACCCACCGCTGTCTGGACCCGAGGCGGAGTCAGGTACCAACGTGCAGAAAGCCAGATTTAAACACACAGAGCTAAACGCGTTGATTTTGCAGTTAAGAGTCGACAGTCCACCTAAAATTAGCAGTCAAACAGATTCTGACTGTTTTCATGTACAAATTATCCTGAAACTTGCACACTGTCTGTATGTGTCCTCTTCAGATGCAGAGGGTGGCCCAGCGAAGAAGCGGAAGGAGGAGGAGAGTAAAGAAGAAATCCTGGAGATGATGGAGAACACGGAGAACCCTCTCCGCTGTCCCGTGAGACTCTACGAGTTCTACCTCTCAAAGTGGTGAGTGTTGTACAACCACAGGTGCACTCGCGGTGGATCTGTGGCTGGTTGGACTCCGCTTTCAGCACGTGAACTTTGTGAAGTAAATGGCTGCACAATAATCTTGCATTACCTTTCCCACATAACTGCTATGTTCAGTTTATTTTAAACAGGTATATTTATTTAATCTTTCAGTGTCTAGTTTGTATTTTCTCTCTGTGCCTGTGTAGGTTTCCTTCCAGAGTACAAAAACTTGATTGTTTGCTTCTTCTAAATTAGCTGTAGGTGAGGTTAGATATCTGTGTTAGGCTGTGACGGACTGACAACCTTTGCAGGAGCCTCTCGGCCTGCAACAGCTACTTGGTTAAAAAAAGGGATGGATGCAGCTCCTGAGATACAGTCGCTTCTTTTGTGGCACATATATTGTTTGTTGTCAGATTTTAAAACCTGATATTACAGGAGTAGCTCACAAAACTGTCTAAAACCAGTATTTTAAAAAGTACAAATAAAAACTCACTCAGTGAGGCTCAGTTAAGCCCAGAGACTTTTATCTAAGACAAGAAGAAGAGATCACATCACTTTCAGCATCACGACAGAAGCTCCAGTTTTATGTTTGTTTATGTAAGAAGGATTTTAACTAACATAAATGCATCATGTAAATATGCCAGATTCAGCCAAACATTATCTTGATTTTTCGTGCTCAGGCTGGACGTATTCCTCTGCTAAACTTTCATCAAAGCTCTGGAAGGATCTGCCTGAGAAGTTTAGACTCTGCACTTAACTACCTTCCTCTCATTCATGTCCTTAAATTTGAACTTAACCTCTTTTCTTACTTTTTCTTACTTGTAACATCATATTGTTTCATTTCTGTTCTTTGTTATATGAAGTAGGTTTCTTGGGAGTTTTTAAAGATGCCGTGCCAAAATATTTTCCCAGTTGGCCAAATACACTGATTACGTGACTTGAAACATCTTTTTTTCTATGTTACTTTTAAATATTATTATTTATTTCATTTAAATATGATAATAAGTTACACTTGAAATATTAAGCATCATAACATTTAAATGAGCCGACATTTTGCCACTTGCCTGAACTAATAAAAGGTTAAGTGTTAAATGTCAGTAAAGACTCATAAAACCTGCCACTCATTGATTCTTTTAAAGTTTATTTCTTGTTTGGATGTGGAAGGCTGGATTGAGATGGTCCACTGGCCGACCCTCATTTTACTCTTGATTTATCAGCACATTGATCTTATTCTTTGTTCCTGTTTCTTCCGCCCAGCTCGGAGTCAGTTAAGCAGCGAACCAACATGTTCTACCTGCACCCCGAGCGCTGCTGTGTCCCCAACAGCCCGCTGTGGTTCTCCTCCACCGCTCTGGACGACACCACCATGGAGGCCATGCTCATCCGCATCCTCACCGTCAGAGAGCTGCATCTTGACACAAAGCAGCAGACGAGCGATGACCCACCGTTTATACCCGAGGAGGAGGAGGATTCGGAGTGAACGTGAAGTGACCTTTTACCGGAGTTGCAGCTAGTGATGTAAATGTTTGGATATTATCAAAAATGTTCGCTGAACATAAACGGACAGGAAAAAAAAACATTCACAACAGCAGTATGAAACAGCAAAGAGTCACATTTCAAACGCACGTTTGGACAGAACCTCCGATTCACATCGCTTATGTAGAGGTGAGGCTGAGATGCTGGACTCAGCTCAGCATTAAAGACTGTTTACTGCTCAGCAGGGCACGCAGCTGCCCTCCTGTGTTTATGTGGTTGTGTCTTATGGAAAATACTACTTTTATCTCCTTCCATGTGTTATGATTCCTGACCTTCCTGTGCACACTGGACTTCCAAGTTTTTCTAAAGCTAGCCCTCCATCTCGGAGTGATGGAGGTCCCGAATAGAGAGCTGCATATTGTTAGTTTCACTACATTCACACCTCGGAGGCCAAAATGAACACGTCTGTGTTTGCAGTAGTTAGAATATTTCCTGGGTCAGTACTTTTGCACACCTCAAGAATTGTTGCAATCTCACTTTGAGAAAACACAGTTTTAACATCTGACTGGAGATTTTACCTGAATCATGATTTGATTGATTTTTCTTCCAGATTCCTGTTTAAGTTGTGATGCTAAACGTTGAAAATGTACACAATTCACACTTTGTGTTTTGTGGTTAACAGATAATCCTCAGATACTTTAAAGGATCTTATCAATCTGAAAAGAAATTACAGTATCGAACAATGTAAAAATCATCATTGGTGCCTGATTGAAGGGATTAAAGATTTTGGAAGTGATTCAATTACATTTTAAGAAATTTGAGATTTGAATGTTAGGTAGCTGCTATCCCTAATTATGACTTTAAAGCAATCTGAGAAGAGAAAGGCCTACAACTCTAAAGTTTTAAACTCATTTTGGGATTCTGTTTCATGCTAAACAAACCTTAAAGCAGTGAGTTTTTGCATAATGAGCTCTGGTATTATATGAAAGCAAATAAAGCTGTCCGTTTGTGTATGTCTAGATTATTTTAACCCCCTTAGAGTATGGCTGCAGAGGTTCTCTTGAGTGTTTTCTATTATATGTTCATTTTGAATAAAAAAAAAAACAAAAAAAACCTCTTCAAAACACTTGTTTTCTTTTGAGACTCTACAATTGCACCTGTGGGAGAGGTCTGCCTCTTAGTCTCGACAGAATCTGTAATGTGATTTGATTTAAGCCCAAACCGTGATCTTTTAGTGAACCTAAAAGATCTACCTTTTGTTGCTTAAATCGAACCAGGGTGAAACCTTAAGGGGTCACCACAGTGGATCATCTTTCAGTATCTCATCCTATCCCTTCCATCCTCTATCACACTAAAAGCTGCCAACATAACTCTCCATGTCCTCCTTCACTACATCCTTGAATCTCCTCTGTGGTCTTCCTGTTTTTTTTCCCCTTGATGTTCAGCGTTCGTCATCCAGCTAACGCTTTCCCTCTGCGCATGTCCAAACAGCCTCGCCTCTCTAACTTTTGTCTCCACGCTGTTTTCGTTTTTTATCCAGGTCACTTTCAGTGAACTAAACTAAAAAGAATTAATGCATAAATGGTCTCCTAGCAGAGAGACTTGGAAGGAGCGCTCTCTGAAATAAGGTGAAAATGTATCGATTCACTCGTTAAAGCGGCTCAAAAGTAGATACAAATGTGATGAATGTGATTTCCAGTCGGTTTGTTTTACTCGGATTACGAGGACGCTTAACGCCGACGGTACTTGTCCCCGCCATGTCCTCATAAACTGCTCATTCCACTTTCACGGTTCTCCGCTGCTCCTGGTGGCTGAGACCATCGCGACCGCGGATTCGCTGCAGCTGCAGCCAATCCGTGACGTTACCGCCAGTGATTGGTCAGAGAAACCGCCGCTCCTCCCAGATCGTGCCCCTTTATCGTCACGTGGTCTCTCATTACCCATACAAGAAAGATGGCTACTTCTATGCTAGCTACACTTGGAGCTCTTCTTGTTTTTTCTTGTGGACACTAAAGCGGAGGTAACTGTTGTTTGGTGTGAAACCGAAGTAGTTCTTGAAATACATTTAGCTAGGTCTAAAACAACGGGTAAACAGCTCAGAAACCACTGCTGGTTTGTTTCTCACCTGCTAGTTAATGCAAGGATGCTAGCAAAGCATGTATGTGTACAACTAACTGAATGTAAACATTAGCCAGATACAGCTGCAGCTGTCCAGATGCATGGGTTTTCTGCTCAGTTGTATAGTGCCTGGTACAACTCAGCAGAACAGACAAATTTATCCAAGAAGTTACAGAGGAAAGGTGAACAAACTTCTACATGCAGAGCCGCTCAAGTACTTTAGTACAAGTTTGAGGTCTGTGGAAAATCTACTCTAGGGCCAGTTTGTTCATCCTGCTTCACTGCAAATCAAGTGGAAATACTTATTATTATAAGTAATTACATTTAGTACTTAGTGCATTCATTAGTTCAAAGTAGTATCAGTATCAGTTTTTACTTTATAAATAAAACGAGATAGTTGAACTTATTTTCCCAATTTTGTGGACTATTTACATTTGAGTGAACAAATGTTAGAAATATGAGCTTCTTGAATTTTTGTCTACCAAACACACGCACATTTTTTGCAACTAAAAAGTTACAGTTGTTCTGAATAAGGTTGGCAGCATGTGTTGAACATATTGTATGCAAGTACATAAAAGGGATGAATGTATTGAAAGTATACAATCTACGATACTTATGCAATCTGGATTTATGCCAGGTGTACTTGAGGAGAGAGAGACTAAGCAATTGATCTAGGCCAGCTTTTATAGCCTGGAACATCAAGGTGAACTGACTAGTTGACAACCCTCCTATGTTAGTCAATTATCAGTAAGAGCAGGCCTGGACTTCCTTTAATAGTGGGTGGGGCATAACATTATTTTTAAGCACCCCAGATGTGTTTTGGCGTGCATTCGCACACTGAAAACACACCTCAAGCCTCAAACCTTGAATATAAATAAACTTTCTGCTGCAATATTTACATTGCCATAATTGTTGTGCTCAGCAGATTTTTCCAGCTGTCATGGAAAACCGACACAAGCGAGTGAATCCAGATCAAGATGCCCTGGTGCACATTGTGGCTTGCAGAGACAAACCCTTCCTGGAAGAAAGGTTCATAGACTCCTTTAAAGGTATGTGGTGTATATATAAGACTGTGATATCAGTCTTTTATATTGGAACACGAATGGGTGACAAATTAAAGGAAAATTATGCAACCTTATAGCTCCAGTGAATGAATATGGTGGTCCCATTAAACTGTAGGGGGGCTTAGACTTTCAAGCAGTGTATTTCTGTATTTATTTTCTTCAGAAGTAAAATTAGACATACTTAAACACAATTCATTATTGTATATGATGAGGTAAAAATGTGAACATTCCTTTATAAAATATGTCTGGGAAGTTGTGGACTTGTCAATAATCACAGCCACAGTTGGTCTGAAAATACTTAATTCTACTTTTGCTGGAGGTAATTAAAAAGATGATGTCTTTGAATGCACAGAGTGCTATATTTATTGCCAAAGTCATGGCAGTTCCAGTGTAAACAGTTTATAGTGAAATTGTTGAACCTAATTTTTATGTTCTTAATAAAATTTTTAGGAAAGGGTGTCTTTACAAACAAAACAATTAAAGCATCTGCCTTTGTTGTCGAGTATCGTGGGAAGATCTTTCTTCACAAAGACGGGAGGCCTAAGAAGAGAAGCGGTGATACTTTGAATGGTTTCTTATATGAGTTTACATGGAATGGAGAACAGTGGTGGTAAGGTGTTTGTTTTGCATTTTTAAAGTGTTTTGGACTGTTTATGTACAGCTTCCTTTTATTAAGGGGTCACTTTTGTATGTGTAGCGTTGATGCTTCCAAAGAGGACAAGACCCTTGGAAGGCTTGTGAATGATGATCACATAAGTCCAAACTGTGAAATGAAGAAGATCGTTTATGAGGGGAAGCCACACTTGTGCCTCTTTGCACTGGAAGAAATACCTCAAGGCAAAGAGATAACTTACAACTACGGCAGCTCCTATTACTCGTGGCGTCCCAAGGTATGTTTATATTATTAAAGAAGCCTTTCTTTTCTCTGTGCTCATTCAGAAGAAACGGGCATCTATAAGTGTAAAATAGCGTTACACTTAGAAAAATCTAGAACTAACAGTGTTTGGAGGAGGCGTTCTCAGTCTGGCTAGTACCAACGAGTAGTCCAAATGTGGTCAGAATGAGAACCCCAGAGTGGCTCTTTTATGATGAGATTGTGATCCGACCTTGGTTTGGATCCTTCTACCAGTCTGAGATTGATGCCTTTCTTTAGCCTGGTGTGCTTTGTTTTCTGGGATGTAGCAGATGTGCAAAGTTTTTGAATTCTTTTTAAGACAAATAAAAAAATTTGCTTTGTAACAGTAAAAACTCAAATAAACCAGTACACAAATATGTCTAAATTTACAGTTTGGTATGTAATCATTTCCAAATATTAATGTTTATATTCAGTTTTTTTGTCTTATTTCACATTTACAGGAGTCATGTGATGGACCAAGTACTTCAGACAAAAAAATGTATCAAATTTCATCAACACCCAAGAAAAGAAGAGTACGTAAACAAGCAACAATTTTGTTTTGGAATACAGAAGTACAGAAGGTTCCTGGTTCGAACCTTATGGTCTCTCGGGGACCGTTGTGTTCGGAGTTTGCATGTTTTACCTGTGCAAGATTTTATAGTCCAGGCTTTTTAGGTATATTTCTAAATTCTACATTTGCTGGAGGTTGTTTGTCTGGAAGATGTGTAGTGGTTAGGGTTGTTCGATATAACAATATATATCGGATGACTATTTGAAAACGTCTATCGTTTAATTTTATGCTAGCGTTGTTTCGTGGTGTCGCAAAATAAACTGTTTAAGGTAATATTTTTTCATCGTTTTGATGGTCACTGTAGTGGCTATATTAATTTCTTAAAGTTTTCTCTTTCTCTTATATTTAATATAACCACACTACGGACGGACAAGCGCCTGTTTTTATGCGTTGTTGTTAGCAACAACGACGGTAACAGCATCGCGTGTCCGCTTGTTTATGTTCCACATAAACCTTTCACAATAAAGTTCAAGATCCTGTTGAGACGTTTCAAAATAAACAGAATCATGTGAAAGATGCAGATTATTTACGGATGAGAAGTAAAAAAGAGCCGCCAGGTGTTAAAAAATAAACCTTAGACTCAAAAGTTAGAACAGGCTTTTCCCCGCAGCACGCCGTGTAATAAATACTCACAAAGAAAACGGCGGCCTTTACAACTTATGTCTAAAAATGTATAGTTTCATGCATCAGTTAAAACACTCGACTCCAGGTAAAGGACGCGCAGCTGGAAACACTTCACGCAAGACGAGCTGCCCGAGATTCACAGAATTTACAGAAAATGTTACATTTTTGTGATTTACATCGTTATCGGGACGATAGATGTCTTAATATCGGGATATGAGATTTTGTTCATATCGCACAGACCTAGTAGTGGTCTGTCTCTCTGGTTTTGCACAGTACCTCGAAGCTATGTGTTTGCTTCTTTTGTACTAGTGATGTTTAACATCTAATTTTAACAACGAAATATTCATGCCTCAAACAGTTCCTCTGATTATTTGATGACAAAGTTGCAAAACAGTACTGCATGATTTTTAAATGCATATAAAAACATATAAAGTATCTGTTAGTAAACCAAACGTAGTCTGTCAACATGCTCTTAATTTGTATTTTCAGTTTAAAGACTCGGATGATGACAGCGAACTACCAGGTCCAAGTCATGACAGTGACCACTCTGCTGATCTTGGAAGGTCATCCAGGGACAGTTCGCCACATTCTGAGTCAGATTCTCAAGAAATGACGAAAAACTTCAGGAGAGTGTCATCAATTCAAGAGGATGACACTTCGAGTTCTGATGATCATGACTCGGACAAAGACAAGACGTACAAAGAAGACAGATACAAAGGAGACAGATCCAGTAAGGCTGGACTAAAAGGCGGAGGAACATCTTTCACAAAGAAAAATTACTGTTATGTTTGCGGGAAAGGTTATCACAAAATTGCTCGGCATCTTTCAAGCCACATTGATGAAGACCCTGAAATCGCTGAAATCTTTGCCTTACCCAAAAACTCAGCAGACCGGAAAGGTCTGCTGGCCAAATTACGAAAAAGAGGAAACTACAAACATAATCAAGAGGTTCTGAGGAGTAACACAGGACCGCTAAAAGTGGGAAGACGATCATCCCGCTATGTAATGACTGCTGAAAATTTTGTGCACTGCATTTATTGTAAAGTAATGCTTCATAGCAAAGACCTATATAGGCATGTAGCAAAGTGTGCTAAGCAAACAATAAATGCTGCAACACATGGCGAGACGAGCATCTTGGGGGACGTCACCGAGTCGGAGTTCTCTGAAAAGTTTCCGTCTGAAGTTTGGGAGATACTTTCAGCGATGAAACAAGATGAAATTGTATTTTTAATTCAACACGACTACCTTTTCATGAAGATGGCCCAGAGTCTTATTGAGAACAGTGGAAATGATCCGACAAACCAAGAGCGCGTCAGACAGAAGCTGAGAAAAATAGGAAGGCTCTTAATAGAGCTCCATGATAAGGGAATAGTGAGTTTTGAAGCAGCACTTAAACCCAGAAGCTTCTACAAAGTTGCTGCTGCTGTCAGAAACCTCTCTGGTTTTGATGAAAAAAAGCAGAAGTACAGCAAACCGAGCCTTGCCCTGTTTTTTGTAAAGTCTCTGAAAAAACTGGGAGAATTTGTTGTCGCACAGAGCGACAGCAGTAAGCGGGTCGTGAAAGATGCTAACACATTCATGATGCTGTGTGCGAAGGAGTGGAAGGAAACTGGCCCTCACAAAGATGCACCTTCATCAAGTGAACACAAAGTACACAGCCCCTCTACGATACCGTTCACGCGTGACATACAGGCGTTCTACACGCACCTGGAAAAGACTTCTGCTTCTGCCATTGAGTGCATGAAGAAGTATGAAACCCCTCAGATGTATAATGCACTTTGCAGAGTCATACTTGCACAGGTGTCAGTCTTAAACAAATGTGCACCTGAGGTTTCAAAAATGACCCTTAAGTCATTCCAGGAGCGGGACGAGACTACCCAGGTGTTGTCCAAGCACTTTATCAGAATTAATATTGCAGGAAAGACTGGGCAGAACGTTGCTGTTTTGTTGACGTCTCAGCTCGTCAGCGCATTAACGCTACTTATGAGCAAGAGACCAGCGTGCGGCATACACGAAGACAATCCTTTCTTGTTTGCAAAGCCAGACGGTTCATCTACAAGCCTCTACCACGGAGGCCACTGCGTTCGGGTCTACACAAGAATGTGCTCTGCAAAGAACCCAGAGCACCTCACGTCCGTGCATTTTCACAAGCACATTGCAAGAATTTTTCAGATTCTTAACTTGGAGAATGACGAGCTACCTCACCTTGCTAAACTGCTGGGTCATGACATCCGGATGGACAGGGATTATTATCGGCTGCCCGAAGCGGCTGTTGAACTCGCAAAAATTGCTAAACTGCTTCTGGCAATGGAAAAAGGCTCTCTTGAAAGATTCAAAGGAACCTCTCTGGATGAGATTGAGATTGAAGGTTTGTGTCCAGTATTATGCAGACATAAACACACATTAGCCTGCCAGTGGTCATCAGATTGTCTTTTAAGGAGTTGTGAATAAATGCAGTCTGTTTTGATCATTCAAGATGAATTGGAGCCAGATATGGAGCAGGGCAGCTCTGTGGTGGACCGTGAAGAGTCTGATTTTCTACCTCAGCAGAGCGGTATGTTGCAAAGATGAGCCTTTCTGCACCTATTAACTTGGAGTGATTATTCTTTTGGACTCTTCAAATGTCTGTGCTATTCTTGTGAACACAATGAATCTCGAAATCTCTAACTTCAACACTCTAAGGACTCAAAAATAAGCTGAAGATTTTGGATGGGAGGGTCAAAGAATTCATTCGCTAAACATGATCAGGTTTCACACAAATGTTCATGAGGACAAAATGAAGGGATGCCATATTCCAGTAACCTTTTTAATAGGGATGCACCAATACTGGTATCGGGGCCGATATTGTAAAATGTGTGTGTACTCATACTCGTAAAAGTTAACCGATACCATGAACCAATACTAACTTATTTCATTAGTCAGAGGGTGGCTGGTCATTTCTGTTGTAGTTTTTTAGATTGG